GTCCCTCTATTAACGTGTTCCTATTTATAGTTTATCAGGAAATGCAGCATAAAACAAATTAAATACACAATTGTAGTGGACATTTTTTTTACATAGTTCACGTGTTCATTTCATCACAGGTTCAGTTATTGTTGTTCATATACATCACTGCCAAGATCCATAGTAACAACAAAAAGACAACCTGACATATTTAAAAATATACAGAACATTTCACAATCGCTATAGCTGCCTAAAAGATTAAAACAACACATCAAACTGTCACACCCCTTAAAACAACAGCACACATATGAGAATGACCTTGCTGAACTGTTGTCATTACTTCCAGCACAGCAACTAAATTATCTTAAATAAATCTTCATTTACATCCAGTTTCATGACTCAGAGCTTTCCACCACACAACAAACAGTGACATTTATGTGGTCTCAGCGGAAGCCGAGGATCTCTCTGCTCTTGAACTGACAGGCTTTCTCCACTTCATTCAGCGTGAGGCCGCGTAGGTTTGCCACATGCAGCCTCCTCAGTATCAGTTCCTGGGACGTCGTGCTCTGACGACGGTGGGGCTGCCTGTTCTCTTTGCTCTCACCAGCAAAGTGGACCTTCTTCTTTCCTGGGGAGAGGCTCTCCTCATCTAGGACCAAACAGCACGGAGTGACTGATTAATAAAGATTGATAGACTATTATCAGGCATGTGATATGAGCTAGAGAGTTTTAAATACAGTTTAGTATCATCACTTCTTTATTGGTGTATAAAAACTTTATTAGCATGATTTTAAAAAGTAATAAATAAACATTCAAAACAGAAGCACAAAAACAGCTCAGTTCTTGTCTCGGTTCAGTAAGTCCAGAGCTCTTCTTCTCAGTCTCATACCTATGTCTTTGCCAAATAATGGTGCCAGGTCCCTCTGTTGCTGGAGACGCTTATAAGTCTTCAGTAAACTCTCAGCCCTGAAACAGAAGATGAGAATGAACCAATGGTACCAATATGTAAAAAGAAAGATTTGAGAAAAAAAGGGAAAGGAGGAGGTTGTTTCATAAGTCATCTGCAGCCTTCTTTAAAAGTTTTACCGTGAAAGCTTCTCGTTTGACAGCCGCTCACGAACACACAGCTCCTGCTCTCTTTCTGCCGTGGAACATAAAAGCAAAAACTTTACTTTAAGGAGTTTTAAAACTTATTTGTCATGTGTGCCTTGTAACGTTTTCTTTGTTAGTTAGCTGAAGTTTGTGGAGGAAGGTCACAGCACTTGTGTTCCAAAAGCAATATGCTTCAACCTGTTCCAGTTCCACAACTTTCTACGAGGTCAGGATGACTTACAATTCCCCATAATTGAAGATAAGGTTATGTAGTCTAGTAGAGAATAACCCTCTAAACATCACGTTATCTCTCAGTTATCAGTTCCTTGTTCTTGTTTGTAGATTTATGAGTGTGTTAAACATCTGTATTGTTGAGCAAGAAGAACACACAGACATTACAAACTACTTATACGACACCAAACAATTCTCATTATCTAACCACATCCTTAAAGTACAAAAAAAATGTCAATACGATACTTTAACGTAAAGTGAGACAACTTCTTTACACAGATATCAATGCACCAATGTTATACATATGTTTTGAAAAATCCCCAGCTATTCTAATCTTCCATTATAAGCGCCTCTGAATACAGAATACGAATCAGGTGAGTGCAGCTGCTGGTCATCAGTTTATGCAGCACGATGAACATGTGGGATAAAATTCTTACGCTCCAGCCTCTCTTCACGTTCCTTCAAAGCCTTCTCTCTGTCCCTCATCGCCTGTTCCCTGAGCCGGAGCTCAGCAGCAGAGGCGGGAGCTGGTTCAGCTGGCTTTGGAAGAGGCCGGTCAGAGTCCGCCGACTTCCTCCGGACCCGCATCTCGGCCCTCCTCTGCTCCTCAGCAACCGCATCCGCCAACAGGCTGCTCTGGAGAATGGACTCCACCGAGGGCCTCAGGTAGTCCTGGTGACAGAGAGGAGTGATTACTTTCCTATACCCCATCAAACCGTTTCTGTCAAAGTTAATGTCCAACTCAAACAATATCATATAACTGTTGTATAGTTAATTTCCAACCTTTAAGTTGAGCATTTTGCTGAGTAAACTGTTCAGTTCCTCAGAGTAGCGGTACGGGATTCTCCTGAACTTTCCCTCTCGGATCCTCGCTGCCAGCTCCTTTTGGTTGTAAGCAGTGAACGGAGGCCTAAACAGGAGACATTCTGGGTAAATGTTAGATTTGTAGCAGACAAATCAGCTGCTGGAGGGAAAATAAAGCTGGAAAACTTACGATAATGCACAGAGTTCATACAGCAAACATCCCAGTGACCAAATATCTGACTTCTCGTTGTACGACAACTGGTTTATCTGCTCCTGTAAGAAAAGGTATGATGGGTTGTTGTAAGGTTAGGCTTCAATCAGGAGGGTTAAGAAACAAATACAGCAGGATTAAACAACTCACTGGAGACATGTAGTACGGTGTCCCGACAAATGTCTTTGCAAAACTGGTGTCATGATTCAGGATCCTGGCTAGACCAAAGTCTCCGAGCTTAACGTTCTGTTTGATGTCGAGGAAGATGTTGGCTGGTTTCAGGTCTCGATGAAGAACGGTGGCCCGGCCGTCGCTGCGTCTGTGGCACTCCTTCAGGGCCAACGTGAGCTGTGCCATGACTCGCAGGATGAACTGCTCCTCCAGATAACGCCTGCAAATCAGTCAATAAAAAGTTAAAGTAATGCAGGTTATGCAGATAGTATAAAGAAGCACAGAATTTTATATAAATGCACATTGTCACCTTTCCTTGATGCAGCGTTCAATGAGGCTGGACAGGTCTCCGCCCTCGCAGTACTCCATGACAATATACAGCGTTGTGTTGGTGCGGTCTATGATGCGGTCGTAGTATCTCACTATGTTCGGGTGCTTGAGCTCCCGCAGGAGGTTCACCTCTGACACCAGCATCTGCTTTTCACTCTCTGCCATGGAGCCATAGTCCAGCTCCTTCCACACCAGGATCTTACTCACAAAGAAAGTTAATCAACAACAAGGATGAAGATTAAAATCAAAGAAACTGGGACTGGGAAGCATAAGACTGAATATAAAGACGGACGAGGCATCTCCGCTTCCTCCCACCACACACACACACACACACACACACACACACACACACAC